CCGACGCTCCACATCCAACCTGATGGAGCTTGAGAGGTACTGCAAAGAAGAATGGGATAAATTGCCCAAGAATAGGTGTGCCAAGCTTGTAGCATTTATTTATTTATTTCAGGTACTTATATAGCACTGTCAATTTACACAGCACTTTACATATATATATTGTACATTCACATCAGTCCCTAACCCTCAAGGGGTGTACAATCTAAGGTCCCTAACTCACATTCATACATACACATACTAAGGGCAATTTAGACAGGAGCCAATTAACCTACCAGCATGTCTTTGGAGTGTGGGAGGAAACCGGAGTACCCAGAGGAAACCCACGCAAGCACAGGGAGAACATGCAAACACCATGCAGGAGCCGCCATGGTTGGGAATGAAACCCATGACCCATTTACTGCAAGGCAGACGTGCTAACCACTAAGCCACTGTGCCGCCCATACTCATCATACTCAAAACGACGTGAGGCTGTAATTGGTGCAAAAAGGTGCTTCAACAAATGTGATGAACAAAGGATGTGAATACTTACTGTATGTACATGCTTTTTTTTTTTTTCATTTTTTATTTTTAATAAATTGGAAAGATTTCAAAACAAACTTCTTTCATGTTGTCATTATTGTTTGTAGAAAGTTGAGGAAAAAAATTTATTTAATCCATTTTGGAATAAGGCTGTAACATAACAAAATGTGGCAAAAGTAAAGCGCTGTGAATACTTTCTGGATGCACTATAGCTCTGAGAAAATAATCAGTATACAAATTATAAAAAACAGGTGGGGATCTGGAATTAAGGATATTTCTTATTAATCTTCATAAATTAGTTGATAATCTGAGTTCTTTATTTGCACTAATTTGAAGCCGAAATAAAAGGCAATAATGTGCAAATATATATATATTTATTAAGAATAAAAATCAGTGCAAAATGATAATGGAATATAATAGGTGAAAATAAATAATAATGCAATATGGCAGTACAATGATCTAATCCAAAATAATTGTTAGAAATTCAAACTAACAATTATTTTCAAATACTAATGGATTGAAATCAACTTTCTAGAAATTGCAGCAGGTGACTTTCAGTAAATCAGCAATAAGTGACAACGGCAGGGGCGAAATGTCCATTTGGAAACTCGGGCACTGCCCGAGGGCCAGGGGTCAGTAGGGGGCCCCAGGAGATGCCCCTGGTACCTTTTTCATAGGATTTTTTGAGTTTGGGCAAGGACACAGGGGCCCCATGATCCCCTATGGCCCGGGGGCCCAATGAGCTGTCAGTCCGCCCCTGGACAACGGCTATGCAAATCGACCATGTTATCTCTCTACAATCAGATATTCAAAGCTCAGTGTGTACCTTGGCATGAATTGATTTGGAATACCATACACAGTCCAATACAATCAGCTTAGAATCTATCTGAGGTCATGATCAAATGTTACACTAAGTTGTCTACCTTGTCATATATAAATATATATATATATATATATATATATATATATATATACTTATCATACAGGATTTATATGGCGCCAACAGTTTGATCAGCGCTTTACAATATAACGGGAGACAATACAGCAGTTCAATAAACCATTGACTAGAAGCTAAAATTAGCTTCAGGAATATTTAAACTAGAATTTCCCCCAGAGAATTGAAATTAAAATAATTTATATTGCAGTTAAAATTACTTCACATCAACTCCTGTGCTAACCATAACCGTAATCAGACTAAACAGTTGAGCTGGAGATATAAGGCTAGAACAAGTTCGGGGGCACTCTTTACGTCTGAAGGAAAAGAAATTTAATCTTCAAACACGGAAAGGTTTCTTCACTTTGAGAGCTGTGAAAATGTGGAATAGACTCCCTCAAGAGTTGGTTCTGGCCAGTTCAATGGATTGCTTTAAAAAAGTCCTGGATTCTTTCTTAGATACACAGAATATAACTGGATACTAACATTTATAGGTAAAGTTGATCCAGGGAATAACCAATTGCCTCTCGGGGGATCAGGAAGGAATTTTTTTCCCTGCAGGAGAAAATTGCATCATGCTTTGCTGGTTTTTTTTTTGCCTTTCTCTAGATCAACTGTGGGTATAGGATTATAACTTTTTTTTTTTTAATGGTTGAACTGGATGGACTTTTGTCCTTTTTCAGCCAAATTATGTAACTATGTAACTAAGTTAGCTGAAACAAATGCGTTATAGTTACCAATATTGACTGTATGGTGTCAGTGATGTCAGCTTTTAGTCAGCTCACTTTAGGGTGTGTCTGTGTCCATCTGTTGTCCTTTGACTCCTCTCTTGTCTTGTGATGTCCTGTCTTTTTGGTGATGTGTCTTCCTTGTCTCTGTCCGTCTCCTAATTTTATCCCTCATAAAACCTTTGCGGGAAAATCTTATCTCACCTAAATGTGATGTCAGACTAGGTGTCATTTTCTCTACTAATTGATTTCAATTACCTGAAGGGGGCAGTATAGGATTAGGAATTATTTTGGGCTTCTCTGACATGTCTTCTGTGTCATGCGTCAAAAGTTGAATCATTAACCCTAGTAAGAAAACTCTAAATATTGAGATAAGATTTCTTTTGCCAGAATTGGTCAGACATGCTGGCACTAATGTCACTGAAAATAATGTATTATTTAAGTGATTCTGAAGAAAAAAAAATCTACCTATACGTCTTACACATTTGTTGAGATATAGCACTGAGGTTTCTTATTATCTCATGTCTTCTGTGGAATGCAGACATTATAATATAATGAACTCATACTTATTCACAAAATACCAATATGTATTAATTGTTAAAACCAATTAATATTGAAAAAATATATATGTATATGGAAATTGAATATAGTAATATAAAACCTGAATTACTTAGGTAAGTATTCACTTCATGCAATACTAATAATATCACTGTACAATTGACATTTTTGGTTAAAGTATTCCTGCCAAATAATAATAATACCATATGCAATGTAAAGTTTAATATGCACTCTTTTTCCAGGGGTTCATGAAAAAAAAAAATCATCTTGTGTCCTTTGTTCGGTCTAGACATGGACTCATCCATCTATCTTACCACTTGGTACCATGTCTAGGCTTTATTTTGTAGCTGTCTGGTACCACCATACCTCCCTCCAAATTTATAACCTGTGAACATAAGCTGTAATGACTTTGGAATGCTCTTAGAATCTGTGTTCAGAAACCATGAAAATAAAATATACAGAACAAAATGGCTCCCAGCATGCCCACGTAAAGATGATAAGTTCAGGCCTTCCTGTTGAATTCTGTGAGCCCAGAACAGTTCCGACAAAGACATACCTTACCCAACAAACCTTTAGCTATATCACGTACATATAGATTAAATAGAACAGGACCTAGTACAGAGCCTTGTGGTACATCACTAGGGACTGATCTGTTTTCCGAGTGAACCCCATTTACAACCACACTCTGGTATCTATCCTTTAGCCAGCCGCATATCCACTGAGCAGCACCCAAGGGCTAACTCTTAGCTGGTACAACTTTTGTATTAGATCATTATGTGGAACTGTATCAAATGCCTTTCTGTAATTTAACCACACCCACTTTTTGTCATGCAGTACAGGTTAAGTCTTCCTTAGGTGTCCCTTGTTCTTAAGTTCAAAAGTTGGGAGATATGTTAATAGAGTCCTAACACTTTGTGAACTGCTGAAATGCAACTGCTGTACAGAATGGTAGAGATGGGTCTTGGAAGACAGGTATGTTTCCCAATGTTTGAGTTGTGGTCCCTTTAAAGTGGTATTAAACCCAAGCCCAAAAAGTTTATATATTGCATCTTACTAGTCCTTAGATGTGGTGGCTGCATTTGTTTTTTTTTTTTTTTCCCCTCTGTTCTCACCTGGTAGTTGGGCCAGTGACACAACCTTTACTAGAGTGCCCCCACTCTGGAAAAGGAGCACAGGGGCACCTTTGGACAGCAGCATTGTCAGTCTGCGGAGGGAGTGTTAGATGTTCTAGCAGGTTTAGATATAGTAACAAATTGAAGCCAAACTTCAGTTCACACTGCAGTTATACAAGCAGTCACAGCAAAATTTTTTTTTCTTTTGAGATAAACGTTTTACATGAAAAAATAAAAACTGATCATTGTAAGCACCCCTGTCAATGGTAAAAGGTTTGTTTCAACACCCTAACTGCTACATTTTCAGGAGAACTTGTTCTGATGAACAACAGCAGACTTACTGGCTAGATTGCCAGATAGAAATAAAGGAAAGAAAGCCTAAAAAAGAAAACTAATGCAGTCATCACATATAAGATTTGGTAAGCAGCAATATAAAATGTTTGTTTTTAGGCTCAATACTGCTTTAAGGGGGACAATTTGAAAGTGGTTTTGGGAGTAATCAGGTGTTCTCACCGATACAGGGGGTGAAGGGTTCTGGTTATAAAGTGGTAAAATGTCTTATAGTTTTGCTAGGATTGGAAGATTCTTCCTTATATAGGATCTGGAATTTAGAGACTTTGGGTGGAAAAGAAGCTCCAACCCTATTTATAGGGACTTTAGCCCTGAAAGGGTTAACCTGTCTGCAGGAGAGGCCTGAAAAAGAACAGGAAGGGTGCCTGTGAGGTGTAGTGTGGAACAGCAACAGTTGTGAGAGGACAGTAGGCTGTTGATTGACTGAGACCCTGATAGACTCTTGCGACCTTTCCTGTAAAAGCCTGCAAAGAGACAAGCATTACTGGCAGTAAGTTATAGTTTTGTTTTTGTAAACCAGAAGCTATGGACTGTTTTATGTTACTTATGCTGTTGAAAAACTATTTCGTTTTGCCCATTTTTTTGTTTAAATAAAAACAGTTTTGCTTCTACAAAGTTGTCTGGCTGGTGATTCCAGGCTTCCCCATATTACAGTGCATAGAAAGTAGCCTGGCTACAGATTGCTTAAAGTGTTACTAAACCCACAACAGTAAAATCAGTCTGTATATGCAGTGAAGTATGCTTGTTATACTCACTGTGGAACCGAAGGGGTTAGTCCTCCGCATTGTGTAAAAAGGCTGTTTGATCCTGTCTTCTCTGCCCCTTCACTTGTTCAAATGTTCATGCTGATAAGACAGACTGAACCTGTAGTCCTTCTGCACATGTTCAGTTTAGTTTGTATTGCTATTAGGTTTTTTTTTTCTTGGAAGAATATATATGGTCAGCACAGGGCCAATCAGCACTGTCCAAACAGAGGTCAGGGGTTTTCATCCTCCTAGAGCAGAAAGAAAACTCCTCCTACAAGCTTTAACCAGTGCTCTGCTGAAGTCACAAGACTGCTCTAACTGCTGATGAGAAAAGGTATTTAGCAGGTTATATTTACTACAATAATTGCATTTCCATGTTGTGTGTACTGTGGGAGACCAGATATAGTGAATGCAGGGTCCTGGGTTTAGTAATACATTAACTGAATCTGTGTCCTCGCAGTGGCACATTTGCTAATCAATGTCATTATTGAGGAAGGATTCTGCCAGTTTTTTCTAAATACTGATTCTAATAAAGTGGGAACTTATATATGACATTACTATATTTTCTAGGTAACATTAGCAGTGCACTGATTGCTTTCTCTTGCTGTCTGGATTTCTGCATTCATATTTTACATATTGTTAGTCTGAATGTTGCTACATAAAGCATCCACAACATGGTAGCTTTTGTGATGACCTTTCACTTATCTCAATGCACAATTTTCATATCAAGCAGATTGAATGGTGTTGACTGACTTTTTCAATTTCAGTTTAGCTATCCAAATTACCAGGGCCTCTTTAAATGCATATATCATTAAAAAGTCAATGGCTAGAATGGGAAAGTTATTCAGTTGTGTTAAAATGTTAACTGGCTTCAATGAATGCAGTGTGTTTGTAAAATATCAATAAAGCAGGGTTACCAAGGTTAAAGAATGCAAGCTAACACCTCTTCTGTAAAGTTATTAGCATGGCTATTCCCTTTCATTTCAAAGTCATTACTGCTTCATCTTGCCATTGACAAACTGCTTTATTTGAACAAAGTAGAACTGTGTGATATAAATCAATACGAAACAAAAGCAGTTTTTGCTGGGTTAAAAGCTGAAAACACAGCCAGGGTTTTGAAGTTGATGCATTTTAGGCATGCATATGTAATTTGTGTTAAATTCCTATTTATCTGTCAGTGAACTTCACTCTGCAGGGATACCTTTTAAGAACAAAGATACTTACACTTCATGGAAAGGCATTTGATTATGAAGTATAGTCTTTTTCTCTGTTCTTTTTTGTTGTTTTTCTCATTGCAACAAAGAGCTGCTCCATCTAAATTTATGTTTCTTCACTGACTTGTGGGTCAGCTGTGTTGGCTTATTCATCCGTGCTCAAGGTTTATTTTGTCATCATTAAGGCATTACGGTCAGTGCTGGGTTGACCGTTTGTGACCAGTGAGGAGGAATCAGTATTCAGCAGCCTATGTAAGAGCAGCACCAATTCTTTGTTTAAAAAAAAGTGTTATGGGAGAGACTTCAGAGATAGCGATTATGGTTGGGGAAATATATTTGCTGCAGTGTAATCATGGATGGACATTGTGACTATTGTCAAAGTACTGTATTGAATTGTGTGAATTTTTGGTGATATTGACCAGTTAAAAAAAAAAAAACTCAACAAGGCCAATAAAACAGCAGAAAAATCAAAGGTAAGGGATTTATTTTTTAAATAACAAATTACAATTGTAAGCTTGTTGCAAGTTTGAGCCATTATACCTTGACCAATCAGGAGTCGTAGCAACACCCTTATAATTGTATGGTTGATTCCAATATGGTGTGTGAGAGAATTATACTGTTTTGGACTAGGTCACCTACAGACCATTTACCATGATCTACCAGTGAGCCAAATTAATATAGAATTACGTGCACGTGGAAGCAAGACACTGACATTGTTGCAGTTTGCCAACTTCCTAAAATTCTGTTTTATTGAGGAACTAACAGTATCATTTATAGGGCTTATGATGCAGGCAAAGCATATACATTGATTGGGTGAAAAGTCCATCACATCAACTCCAAGGAAAGTCCAAATATGCACAAGACATAATACAAAGCAGTTATATAAAGTCTTTTGCATTTACCTCAAACATTAAAAATGTATTACTGTATCTGGAAATGTATTCAAAGTAAGCTGTTCACAGTACCCATTTTTCAAACAAGAAAACAATAACTATATAACTGCAGTTCAAGCAAGAGAGATGAAAATATTATTTATTTATTTGGTTCCTCTTGTTGATGTAATTTTCTTTCTTCTGTTCTTTTCTCGCATGTGAACTTGGAAAGTGTAAAAGCTTATCCCACGATTTATGTGACAACAGCCTTAAATACCTGGAGCATAAACTATGTTAGAGAAACAAATTGTAAAAATTGCACTCTAGAAAACGTTATGCCAAATGCAATGTGTGCTGTGATCAGGTAACAAAAGGCTTACTAGTGCTCCAACATTTAACATTTTAAGGAAAGGGAGTATCTAAAAATGATTAGATGTAATCATCATTAAAGTGTACGTTTAGGCAAAAAAAAAAATCACTACAATGCACAATTTCCCATGTTTTTTCCTTAATACCTGCTACAAGCACAGACAAATACATGTTGATCTACCAAACTGCCAGTGAACATTAGACTTTTCTGAACTTCCTGAACTGAAGTCTGAACTCTAGACTTCCTTTTGACAACAGACAACACAGTATATGTGCTGCACTGAAATTGCAAACAATGTTGTCAACCATGCTCAATTTGCCCCAGTTGTACTACAAAACACCCAACTGCAAACCTTGATTAATTTCTTAACAAAACAAAGCCAATGCCTTAACTCCAAAGAGCCTGGTAACAAAGCATGTGTAGGGAAAGTACTAATGGAAGATGCAATTCTGGAGGTGTAAAAGAATAAAAAATTGTGGTGATGTTGCCAGGACCTAGATAGCTAAGACTTGGAGCAAAAAACATAAAACCATAGACCATCTGCAATTATAAAGTCATAAAAGAAAGTCCATATAATAAGAAAGATCCTCTACGGGCTAGGTGCTGCTGGAGTAAATCCAAAGGAGAATGGATGAAAGGAAAAACAAACAAATTGTTCCCAGTGCAAACACAACTGTTATATGGAACCCCTCTGTAATGGAATATAATGACACCAAAGCCGATAAATGTGGCCCTGTGGTGCAGTGTAGTACCTGAGATGGACCGTCCAAAGTCCCAAAAAGCAGTCTCAACTGTGATTAAAGTGAGGGTGGTATCATATTCAAAGCTCCATTGTCATGTCCAGATAGGGCGATGTACAAGAAAGTCCCCCAGGAATTGATATAGAATGGCCAATACTTTAAGTCCCAATAAAAGCAATCTTTTTTATAAAAAAACAAAAACAACCATTAATATGGAAGAATGACATCCAGCTCCTCGGAAGTCTACAGTGTTGCCGAGGCTACGCTCACACCTCTTTTCACCCCTGAAAGCATTGCTAAAAAAGCTTGAGCTTAAGTTACATTTTAAAGTTGAACTCCTAACAGTCCAAACAGTTGTTTTTCTCCATGCCCATTTCATATCTCAGTGCTGCCTTGAGGTGGGTTTCAGTGTGTTGCATAAAAATATAGACAGGGTGCATTTTTATACAATGCACAAAGGCTGACTGGAAGTCACCTTTGGCCACCACAACACTGCTCAGCATCAGTGTATGGAAATTAATAAAATGTCACTTTGTGATATTTCAATAAAGGTAATAAAAGGATAAACAATTCCTTGCGTATGTTTTCATACAAATACATGGTACAGCAGGAACATATCAGGAATATGAAATGTTGAGTTTAAATATTCTTTAAATGTTATAATGTGTCCTTGGTACCTTCATCCCTCAAACTAATAATACCAAACTTTATGCAAAAAACTTGATTTTTTAAATGGTACCACTGAGTCCTTACATATCCGTTAAAGTTTTTATTTATACAAATATTTAAACAGTATCACATTACATCTAAAAAGGCATGAAAGCCAAAACACCCTCTGGGCTCTAAACATCTCCTATAGAGATGAATATTACATCTTTCATGGATGTAATGTTTGATGAGGCTGAATTCTCTATTGTGCCTTTCTTTCGTGCCTCATCAGGGCCATAGATAACTTTTTGTTCTTGGTGGGGGGGTCAGCAGCTGACTGGTTTCCATGCACAGATTCTGTCTGTTCCCATTTTGATAAATTTCCCCCAGTGTCCCCAAATGAAAGGTAATACTAGCTGTATGGATACTAAATGTGCGTGTCATAATTTTATGAAATGTTTTTAAGAGGAAAAATAAAACTGTGAGCCCATTGCCTACCACAATGGAGTCATTTTTTATCTATTAAAAACATTTCATAAACTTTCTTAGGGCACAGTTTACAGGTTAAAAAAAGTGCACTGGCTGCCATAAGATGCTGCCCTTAGCACCTGCTCAGTTATAGTGTGCAAACTGAACAGATACAAGGTGAGTGTGCTGCCTACCTACCACAAGATGGTGCCCTTTGCACCTGCTCAAAAGGTTGACTATTACAGCGCAAAGGGCACCATTTTGCATTAGACAATGCACTCATTGTTTTTTTTTTAACCTTTACAGATAGAAAAAGGCACTGACTACCACAGGATGGTGCACTGTGATAGCCAACCTTAATGGGCAAAAGGGCGCCATCTTGTTTAAGGCAGCAAATTTTTTGTTTAAACCGGCATACAGGACAGGAGAAGTGGTACTGTGCAGAGTCCATACATACAGCTTATGAACAGATACTGAGAATTACACCTGACATACAGGGCTTTACCCAGAACAGAAACCACTACTGTGTAGTGTTCACACATGCTTAAAAGGAGAATTACAACCCAAGCTCTTTTGGCTGTACTTCTGTGGATCACAGGAGTGCAGCTCGTTCTGTACTCCTGTGACCCGTTTTCAGCTGACAGCGGGCTGAAGCCCGCTGTCAGGTGATGTCAGTTGGCCAGTCCAGGCTGGAGAAAGATCCTGATTATAAAGTCGGGATCCACCGCAGAGTCTGGAGCGGCACCTGGCTCAACCTTTTAGCGATTGGCTGGGAGCTTGAGCCAGCAGCTCCCTCCCCCTCTACATCCCAGCACTCCAGTGAGTGCTGGGGGGGCAGAGCAGACAGAGGTGACTGACAGTCCCACTCTCTGCTCAGAGAGGCTGTGAGACCTCAGAGATGGTTTTGCTGTGATTGTTGTGTGGTTTATCGCACAGTGAACTGCACTGTGCAAAGCTTGTCGCACAAAAAGGAGCAGGAGCTTCTTCTGGGTGACAAGTTTGCATGATGCAGTTTACTGAGCAATAAATCACACAAGAATCACAGC